TTCCGATAGATGTCACAACTGTTATTATAACAGTTTCCGATAGATGTCACAACTGTTATTATAACAGTTTCTGATAGATGCCACAACTGTTATTATAACAGTTTCTGATAGATGCCACAACTGTTATTATAACAGTTTCTGATAGATGCCACAACTGTTATTATAACAGTTTCCGATAGATGCCACAACTGTTATTATAACAGTTTCTGACAGATGTCACAACTGTTATTATAACAGTTTCCGATAGATGTCACCACAACTGTTATTATTTTAGAAAACAAAATAAACAAGTTGTAGGGACTCAATAGTTTACAAAAATAATTTAAAATTTAGATTTTTCGAGAGATAACAAGTTTTTGGTATACTTTCACCAAATTAATATTTCCTGGAAAATAAAGGCTACTAGGAAAGTGTCAAATTTTCGCCAAAAAACACCTGGGCTAACAGTCATTTTTCGTCAAAAGATAAAGAAAACCAAAGCGTCAACATTTCGCTAGAAAATAACAAGACCCTATTGAATTTCTAGAAATATGAAAGAAAAGTTTTCCCAAAATGAAGCAAGGTTTTGCTCTTCAGATTATCATGAGATAAGTGATTTTTTTATTGTGTGTGCTAATATTTCATGGAAAACAGATAAACTTTAATGCGTATATAGAATTCTTTGATGCACATTTTTAAAGTATCAATATATATGGATTTTTTTAAAGCACGAAGTTTTTTTTTCCACTAAAACTTACGATAATCTTTATTGTTATACGATGATAAATTTTTGTTTAAAAATAAATTATGTGATCAATGGAATAATGAGTCTTTTAATCTGTCCAAAATCTTATCTTCATCTTAATCCCGAATAAAGAGGATTATACGATTATCTCTGTTGTTTTTCTAGATAAGCTTGCACATTGAAATCATAATACAAAGTTTGTATCATCTGACCAAATCGGGAATTCTAATGAGGTCAAACTTTATTTATGTTTTACTTTTGGCTGGTATAGCCTCCTGGCTAAACCATTTTTTTTCCATGTCACTCAACTTATAATAAAAGGTCAACACATGACACTGAAAATGTTGCAAGTTTTTAAGTTGACCTAGTCTACTTCTATCTATGATCTTTTTACAGTTCTTTTCAATTAAACGATTTAAATATATAAAGCCTAAAAATGTTACGTTAAAAAAAAGAAATATAGCAATACTGAGTAAATAGGATTGTATCACTGAAGTTTGGGATTTATTAATTAAAAGTCTCGAGTTAACTTAAGAAACTCTAAGAAGTTTATTGTCAGAAAAAATCATTAATATTACAGAAGCAGCTGGTTCACGAACTTGACCGTATATTGCTAGGTAAACAGCTTTACAGGGGCACAAGACACTCATTACTTGTAGCCTCCAGTCATCACTCATTAGGGGATCTCCTCTGTACCAGATTCATTAATCATAGCCTCCAGCTTAAACTACTGACATCACCGTTGCTCAGCGGGGAAACCTTTTTTTTTATACTGGTGGAATAGGAACTTATAACAATTATACACATGTCGTTAAGGGCTGTGTTAAACCATCGCCACATTTATCATAATAAACGGACGAATGTATGATAAGCAAACGAGTTTTTGTTTTCTACATATATTTGCGAGTTGAAATGAATGTCTGAAGTCAGTGGTTATTAAACTCCAGCGGTACACATTTATATAACAAACAAAAACTGATGTTTCTTGCTTATTAAATAACATTTTGGTACGGATCTTCATTGTTCTAAATACCTTTCATTCATCTTGAATAACTTCTAACAAGCTTTCTTAGGATGATGTGCTGGAAAATTGAAGGGCATTTAAAATATTTAAGTCCGAGGTTCATCCTGGATGATGGAAAATTGAAGGACATTTCAACTTTTTAAAGCTGAGGTTCAGCCTGGATAATGGAAAAATGAAGGGCATTTCAACTTTTTAAATCCGAGGTTCATCCTGGATAATGGAAAAATGAAGGGCATTTCAACTTTTTAAATCCGAGGTTCATCCCGGATAATGAAAAGATGAAGGGCATTTTAACGTTTTAATGCTCATATTCATTCCAGATAATGGAAAAAATAAAGGGCATTTCAAATTTTCATGGCTGAGGTTTATCCGGATAATGGACAAATGAAGGGCATTTGAAGTTTTTAAATCCGAGGTTCAGCCCGGATGATGTTAAAGTGCTTCTTAGTAAAGTGATGAATAAACAACTAAAATTACACAATAATAACTTGGATTACTGATTACTAGATGGCAGCACCACTGACAATGAAACTTAAACTCACAGTTTTCGAGGTGTTGGAAAAAATCCCAGGTTTCCTGTTGAGAGTTGACCGGCCTTTCGAAGATTTCAGGGTAGAATCTTGAGTTGCTGTCTGAGTAGGGTCACTTAGTTCTTCTGTTGGTATCGTTAACCCCTGCTTCCGCCCTCCACGTTGACTCTGGAACAATAAATTCCCATTTATCTATTCTCTAATCATTCCCCTGTCTATCTGTCTTGTTACCACTTATCTTGTTATTCAGTTCAAAACATGGCAGCATATTCAAGCTTTGTTTACTATTGAGAAATATTCATCTTTACAACAATAACCCTTTAATATAACAACAACTATATAATAGTCACCAAACAGATCCGAGAGGTTGTTTTAACGTCCCTCAGGAGCCAAAGGGTGTCTTTACACAACAATTTGTTGAATATTAAAGGTAAGTTCAATCCGGAAACTACCAGAGACGGTGGTTTTGGACGTATCTTTTCGAGACAAGTTTTCGTTTGTTAACTGATAAATTTCTATGTGAAATACAGCATCCTCAAGTCTCCATACCAGCTAGTACTAAGGTCTACCCACTGGGAGTAAATTCAGTATATATTAATAAAACCACATTCTCAGCATTATTAATTAAGCAATTGCCAACCTTTTGTGCTTCTGCTATAATCTTTTTTATGTTTAGCTTTCAACTGAGATACGAACGATTTCACCTGTGATTCGGGTAGGGAAGGTCGAAGCATCACGATAGTCAGCAGTAGGATGAGCAGACAGGAAAACTTTGAAAGCAGCTACAGTCATAATATTGTACTTGGGTTTCTGCACAATATCTACCAAGGTGGTTCTAAATGGTTTCTGAATACATCTGCGTGTCATTTGGAGACTTCCATGCTTCTTGTGCTTAGCCGTTAATCTCGTGATGCGCTGACGGATTTCAGTCACCTTAGCACTCCAAATCACTTTTCGCAGCCCCAACGCTAAAGGAGTGCGGGAAATGTCTTCTTCTTAGCCAATAAAAAATGTCCAAAAAATTTCAGTTCAAATTAAGAAAAACCAGATTGGGTAGTTTTTTTGTTTTCAACAGAATTGTCTCCCATTGGCTCGTGAGGGCCCTGTTAAAAAGATAGATTTACAACGGTCGTATGTTAAACGATTTGAAATCAAATAATTCTGTTAGATTTCGGACAAAGCGAGGGTTGTAAACCGTCAATGTTTCACTAATTAACAGCAAGGTAAAACACTCAGAACCGCTATAGGCTTCTAACGAACATTGTAGTAGCTTGTTTCATCGATCTAGATCTGATGTTTTCTAAATATTGGTGTACTGAAATTATGCAAATCTTAAGACATTTCTTCAATTTTAATCCCATCCGAAAATTTTCATTGACAGTGTTGTCTATTATAAACAATTTGTATATCTAGGGAAGAAACCAATGTTCTTTAGCAAGATAAAGCCTGTTTAGTGTGTAATCACAATGCTCGAGGGATAATCACAGACATTACTGTAATGTAAAGATCAGGGCAACAACAGGAAAGGGGGAGGGGGTTCAGGTTTGCACAAAGTACAAACTTCAGTTGTTAAAGTGTAGCTATATTAGTTCCAAAGAAAGCACTGTTTTCTTCTCGACCTCGAGGTCAAGTTTAAAGATTAAGTAACGCTTAAGAGTTTTAATTACGACTATAAATAGTTAAAACGACAGTCAGGTTTAAAAAACAAGGGTTAAATCACGGTCGTTATAAAGTCACAGACAACGTTTTAACTAAGTCAAATGTAAACATTTTTGACCTATAATATTACGAGAAAGGGAAATGTCTGGGACACTTGTTATGTCTGTCTGTACAGTCTGGGACAATTGTTATATTTGTCTATACAATCTGGGACACTTGTTATGTCTGTGTCTGTACAATCTGGGACACTTGTTATATTTGTCTATACAATCTGGGACACTTGTTATGTCTGTGTCTGTACAGTCTGGGACACTTGTTATGACTGAGTCTGTACAGTCTGGAACGTTTGTTATATTTGTCTATACAATCTGGGACACTTGTTATGTTTGTGTCTGTACAGTCTGGAACACTTGCTATGTTTTTGTCTGTACAGTCTGGGACACTTGTTATATTTGTCTATACAATCTAGGACACTTGTTATGTTTGTGTCTGTACAGTCTGGAACACTTGCTATGTTTGTGTCTGTACAGTCTGTAACACTTGTTATGTCTGTGTCTGTACAATATGGGACACTTGCTATGTCTGTGTCTTTACAGTCTGGAACACTTGCTATGACTGAGTCTGTACAGTCTGGGATATTTACTATGTATGTGTCTATACAATCTGAGGACACTTGTTAAGACTGTGTACAATCTGAGACACTTGTTATGGCTGTGTCTTGTACAGTTTAGAACATTTGCTATGACTGTCTGTACAGTCTAGAACACTTACTAACAGTTACTGTACAGTCTAGAATACTTACTGTACAGTCTAGAACACTTACTGTACAGTCTAGAATACTTACTGTACAGTCTAGAACACTTACTGTATAGTCTATAACACTTACTGTACAGTCTAGAATACTTACTAACACTTACTGTACAGTCTAGAACACTTACTAACACTTACTGTACAGTCTAGAACACTTACTGTACAGTCTAGAATACTTACTAACACTTACTGTACAGTCTAGAATACTTACTGTACAGTCTAGAACACTTACTGTACAGTCTAGAACACTTACTGTACAGTCTAGAATACTTACTAACACTTACTTTAGAAGTCCCGGTGAAGTACTTTTTCAATTTACTCAAGTTTCTAAATTTTTACAAATTCTTCAAAACTGCACAGTTTTAGTCAGTAAAGTTTCTTTATGTTTACCGTCAACTTATAAATTTTATTCACATTGTTTAATACGGAATGGTTTTCTGTATCATGTTTTAACGAATATCAATTACGGAACACAAGGTGTTGTCGCTAAGCCTTTATTATATTCAGGTCGTTTCTTCACGGAATGAAAAAGAAGAAACGCTCATTTGGAAATGTGATTAAAACCCACCGCATCCATCAACGTAGTTAATCCAACATGCGTCACTAGGGTATGTATCTGACGTCCACATGCTTCACGCTCTGGTAAGCTCGTGCCATTGCGTTTACAGACATCTGCACGCGCTTGTAAGCTCGCGTTCTTACGTGGTTATACATCCTTCGAATTTGTTTTATTTCCTTTTTCCACTATTACGTAAAAGCAGGGATTGGGTGAGATGGCATGTTTCTATAAAATCAAAACACCTAGAAGCCGTGAGGACACGTGATATAGTGATGAAAAAAACAACACCAAAAACTGTTGAGCTTGCCAAGCTCTAGAAATGTACAATAAAGTAACAGGATTTAGAAAATATTCGAAAGATTATTTGACGGACGTAAAATGGAATGAATTGAAATATTTAGAAAGGTCTGGTATGATTATACAAATCAACTGTTTCACATGGACTTTTATTTTCTAATATTTCACTATTAAACTCTAATTTCTTAATATAATACACCTGTTTATTCTTGTTACAGGACTGTTCTATGATGATTTAAACTGTTGTTTCTTGATATAAGATAATTCATCTATTTATTCTTGTTACAGGACTGTTCTAGGATGATTTAAACTGTTGTTTCTTGATATAAGATAATTCATCTGTTTATTCTTGTTACAGGACTGTTCTATAATGATTTAAACTGTTGTTTCTTCATATAAGATAATTCATCTGTTTATTCTTGTTACAGAACTGTTCTAGGATGATTTAAACTGTTGTTTCTTCATATAAGATAATTCATCTATTTATTCTTGTTACAGGACTGCTCTAGGATGCTTATATCAAGAAACAACAGTTTAAATGATGAATTATTATTTATTATTGACACAGGACTGTTGTAGGATGATTTAAACTGTTGTTTCTTGATGTAAGATAATTCATCTATTTATTCTAGTTACAGAACTGTTCTAGGATGATTTAAACTTTTGTTTCGTGATAATTCATCTATTTTTGTTCCTACAAAATTTTTCTAGGATGATTTAAACTGTTAAATTTTATTTGAAGATATTCTTTCAGGGATTTTAATTATTAATCTAAAATAATCAAACTGTTATATTTTGTTCTCTGAAAATTAACATGTTTAATGATATATTTTAGAGATTAGTACGCGTGTTTAGCTTTTCAGTTAAGCAAATTACAATATTTAAAACTTACCCCTGATGGTTTTCGTAATTTCTCATCTCTATTTCCTAAACTGCTTCCGCTGTTACTTCTACTGGCTGGAGCCCGGCCACTTGAACTTCCTGTACTGTTTTCTGGAGTGACGATACCGCCCTCTGAATGATCCTTTACTGTTAATAAATACACGTATAAAATGCACAGCTAAATAGTGTACATAGAAACGGGTATTGAAAAAGCTAGTAAAAATACATTATACATTTACGAATAATTACCACATTTATTTGCAAACAAAATATCTTTAAGTTTTGGTCCACTTTTATTAAGTTTATTTGTTGTTATGTGTAACGCCACAGATTGCTGTCTATCGTGGATAAGAGGATCATATAAATTTAAAGGTTTCTTAGCTTAACCTAACTGAGTTTTTAATCTGAATGCTGGCACAGTGGATAAGATATTTGTTGTTATATACAGTTGGTTTTAAAATTAGATTATCATATTTCTGGAAGATCTTAAATGAAATTAGTGCTCTACAAGAAAACAAAGACCAGTTTCAGATAAGAGTAGAATCGTTATAATACTCAACGTCTTTCACTGTTTGCTAGACGCTATGATATTCTAAGTTCCGGTTGTACGATATACTACAACGTTAGCTAAGTTCCGGTTATACGATATTGTACAACGTTAGCTAAGTTCCGGTTATATGATATTCTACAACGTTAGCTAAGTTCCGGTTATACGATATTGTACAACGTTAGCTAAGTTCCGGTTATATGATATTCTACAACGTTAGCTAAGTTCCGGTTACTGTTTCACAATGCCACATACAGACAGCGTTTCAATAAGTTGTATTAAACTACAAATACGGACTATCACGAACTTGAGGCTAATGTGTGATAACAAAGGAAATTTCAGTGCAAACCTGTCCTTCGGCTATTCTTAGAAACGATTCGATAAAAAGCATGCTTATTAACACAGCTCTCCTGGAATCAGGATCAATTTATTTGATCGAACTATAACATTTCTATTGACTTCTCTAACAGAGAAATACTAATTTTAAACTTTCGATAAATCCACGCTAACCTAGTGTCTTCAGAAGTAAGACACAACGTTAAAAGAGTTCAGTTCAGTTTATAAAACTAACCTTTCAGCAGCAGAGTGAGGTTAAGCACCGGATGTCTTAAAGATTAACCTCGGTCATGCAGAAGGTATTTTATTTCCTTTAACATTTCAAAGTAGGTCACATTAAGTCTGCTATATTGGGGTGATCTCTCAACTTAGTGTTACGCACTAAACTACACTTTTAATATTAACTTAAATAGCCAGTGTAAATATTAGTCTAAAGTAGCATATATCCCGAATTCCAACGTTTCATACATTCGAAGCAGGTTTTCTTACTTTTGTTGTCCATCCGAAACACCAACACCCCTAAATTATAGAGTACAACATGTCTCTGCCACGTAATCTAAACATGGCCAATATTGATACCAGAAAAATAAAAAAACTGTCTATATCATTGCTTGAGACCTGCAAGAAGGTATATTTGTCCCAAATCCAATGTAAGTTGGGTGACATACGTATGAATAGTTGACGAAAACCCTAAATCATGCTTTTTGTGGCATCTTAACCCCCCTATAATTACTAAAAATGGTTAAGTCCAATATTTTTGTCTATCATTGTGTGTTATCTGTAAAAAAAAATATTTGTACCAAATTCCAGGTAAACTGTTTAAAACCCCCAAAATAATGTTTTTTGTGGGCTTCCTCTCCCCCCCCCCAAAAGATACAATGTGGGAAAAACCCTATTTTTGGTATGTCAATATGTTTAGTGCATGGAAATTTATATTTGTGTTTCTTTTTATCCAC